CTAAAAATAGTAGCTAAAATTTATAAAACCTTTTTTTTTGTTTGGTTATTAATTTTTAATCAATAACTAAAATTTTAATTAATTAATTAATATTTAATTAAGTTTCCATTTATCAAATTTACAATTTATGTGTGAAGGGGGAACCGATCACAAAATTGGATGAAACACATGCGTCGATAATTGGGTGAAACAGTCGAAATTGTCTTGTAATCTCCTGGCCAGCAGAATACAAGAATTTGATGGATCTGAAAGAAAAGATGCAACGTCCACTGTTATAGATCTTTTGGGTATATACGAGGATCGATCAAGTTCATAATTGATTAAATAACTTTTTTGATCTTTCTATTATCGAAAAATGTTCTTTTAGGTTTCTATACTGAAAAAAATTTTCTTTTTTAGTTTTTAAAAATTAAAATCTGATTTTTTTTTTTGTTTTCTCTGTTAAATTTTTGTTCACCTGTCACATTAATTAACGAAATAATTTGATTATTTTTTTATTTTAATAATATTATAAATGATGTGAAAATTTGAGGATAACACATAAGTATTTCATCTTGCTACTTGTACAAATTAAAAATTTTATTTCTTAATTAATCAATTAAATGAGTTTAAATATAATTAACTTTAATTTCTTTATCTTCTTCTTTCTTTTCATCCTTATCCTCATCCTCATCCTTGTCCTCAACATCATCATTTCAACATCTATCTTCACCATCCTCTTCCCCTTCCTCTTCACCATATGGGTTCTTCGAGGAACCTAGGTTCTTCGAGAACCAAAAAGGGTATTTAACAATGGTTCAACTCATTGTCTTTCATAAATCGAAGTTAAAAATTAGTGCACGATCTGCAAAACAAGAAAAGAAATAAAGCGTATAACGTGTGCATGTTGACCTCCACGACATAATCTTGCTTATGAAGTGATTAAAATATATACCCAAAACAACAACCAAATATCTGTCAAACTGGGAAAATTGCCAACTTCCTCCCTAAAGACAATACCATGCTGCTAATAGAAGAACCTAGGTTTGGGTTCTCCGCACGAAACCCAAAAATTGGGTTCTGCGGACAACTGGGTTCTTCACATGGAACCCAAAAATTAAGTTCCTCGCACGGAACCCAGAAACTAGGTTCTGTGAAGAATCCAGATGATGAAAAGGAAGGGGAAGAGGATGGTGAAGACAAATGTTGAAATGATGGGGACGAGGATAAGGATGAGGAAAAAGAAGGAGATGAAGAAATTAAAATTAATTATGTTTAAACTCATTTATTGATTAATTAAAAAAATAAAATTTTTAATTTAAGCAGATGGTCAAATGAAATGCTTACGTTTATTTATAATTTTATTCTCAAATTTTCACATCATTTATAATA